CGGTACGCGGGCCTCTCACTGTTGTGGCCTCTCCCGTTGCGGAGCACAGGCTCCGGACACGCAGGCTCAGCGGCCATGGCTCACGGGCCCAACTGCTCCGCGGTGTGTGGGATCTTCCCAGACCGGGGCACGAACCCGTGTCCCCTGCATTGGCAGGCGGACTCTCAACCACTGCGCCACCAGGGAAGCCAAGTAAGATGGATTTTGAAGGATGTTGAGAAGGGATTTGACATAGGAAATCAGAGCTATAGGCATACAGGAACTTAAGGGGAAACTTTCTAACCCCTGAGAATGGTGACTATGATGAGTTTGACTTAACTGAATGTGACTGATATTTATTGAGCAGCAACACAGTTGCCAGGCTTGTTTACTATCATTTTTGATATGCACTAACTTTGTTATTTTAGATCTGCCTTCATTGTCTTGATTTCTTATTTTTTTAAATAAATTTATTTATTTTAATTATTATTTTTTGGCTGAGTTGGGTCCTCATTGCTGTGCATGGGCCCTCTCTAGTTGTGGTGAGCGGGGGCTGCTCCTCGCCATGGTGCACGGGCCCCTCATTGTGGTGGCTTCTCTTGTTGCGGAGCATGGGCTCTAGAGTGCAGGCTCAGTAGTTGTGGTGCACGGGCTTAGTTGCTCGGCGGCATGTGGGATCCTCCCGGACCAGGGATCAAACCCGTGTCCCCTTCATTGGCAGGCGGATTCCTAACCACTGCACCACCAGGGAAGCCTTCTTGGTTTATTCTTAATCCTGGTCTCCATGTTAGAGATTTACAATTTCCTAGGCATTATCAGAACAACTTTGAGAGTTCTGCATTTCTCATTTGTAAAATATTATATTCATCTGAAAAGTGTTAGTACCAAGAATGCATGGAAAATCTGGGGCATTTCCTAAGGTAACATTGAATCTTTTGTGTGTACTTTCTTCCCCACTTATAATGTTACTAGGGAAGCATTCTGATTTTCTGGACAAAGCCAGAAATTTGTGTGAGCTGACTTTTCCTGCCCTTAATACTTTAAAAAAGAAAAAAGAAAAAATAGCATTATGAAAACTTGACGAAAGTGCACAAGCATTTGAATTGGTAAGTTGTTTAAGATGAAACCTGTGTGCCTAGAGGAGTACCTGGCACACATGATATGTTTGGTGCATGGAGGAACCACATCTTAAAGAAATTAATTTGAAGGAACTAATAAGTAACAAGGGAGTTTCTGTTTGTTTTGATATGTTATTTTGGACATGTAATTAACCACATATTTCAGGGGGTTTGAGGAGGATTTCCAGGTACTCGAATATGCATGACATCTGAATTACACAAAACAATTTAAGCAGATATACAGTAGGATATTAGCTATCACTGCCTGAGAGGGTAAAGTAGAATTTGTAACAAATGAGTTGGGCTGGCAGGCACATGATGTTACTAATTCTTAGTATTTTCTCCTTGATTCCATTGAACAAATTTGCTGAATGTTTACTGTTTGCAGGACTCTTGATAGACTACATTCAGTGATGTGTAAAGCACAGCCTGCACACTTATGAGTCTTGCATTTTATTTTTAGATTTCTTTATCATTGGGATTTGGTCAATTTTATATACATACACACACACACACACACTCCTACATACATACATTTTGATAGACCTTAATAATAAGATCGTATTGTATTAAAGCTAGTGACATTATATCTACTCAGACCCATTTTTTAATAGATGAAGGAACAACCAACATTTATCCAACTGAAAGTGATTTCTATAATAGTGCTTTGAGTGAATGATCCAATCCACTAGTTCTCAATTTGGGGGAACATTTAACTTGTTCCCAATATTTAACTGTTGCAAATAATGCTTCTGTGGTCAACTTTGTGCATGAAATTCTTTTATAGATTTGTATTTATTCTCAAAACTAAAATATGACAAGGTGAGTAGAAATAAATATTTTGAAGCAGTGAGCACTCACACGAGTTGGAGCTTTGGAACCCTGCTTGTTCTAAAACATGTGATCCTATCAATTATTTCTTCCTTTTTTGAGATTCCTTTCTTCCATCACCATGTTTCACTTTACATTGTGCAGTTTTTTTGTTTCTGTTACGCTGTGCAGTGTTACATTCCCAGGGTAGACCTGCCAGTGCAGATCTTCTTTGCTCATGTGAATGTTCACAATAATGTCCTGATTTGTTTCCCCATGTTGATATGTTCCTTTGCTACCCATTGCATCTGTAATCCTCACGTCCCCCAAACATTACAGTAACATCAATTTTCTGTTCAGAAGTCTTCCTTCAGTGTCTCAACAGCAGTGTCTTAGATATTCAGGGCAGTCTTCACTTCAAATGTGTTCTGTTTATGACATTATGTTCTGATTATTCATTCTGAAAATGTGTTTATTGTCAGCACAGTGGAGTAATCTCATATACACCTTTAATTTAGATTAAATTCACTTTTTAGGCACTTGGCTGGAAAAAGAGAGAAAAATAACTATTCAAGTCATTCAAATAAATCTATCTTCTATCACCTGATGACTTCATGCCTGGGAGGCAGTGAGAAATGGGAGGACTGAATCTGTTGCTGTCTGAATCTCTCTTAGACGTTTGTGACAGCATGAGCATCTTGGCAATCAATTAACCTTGATCTCAAGGTTAATATTACTTGCAAAGTATTTTTCATATAACATGACTCCTTTATCAATGTATAGGTTAGCCTTTGCTTCATAACAAACTACCCAAAACTTACTGACTTAAAACAAAATAATTTAGGGACTTCCCTGGTGGTCCAGTGGTTAAGAATCCGTGTTCCCAGTGCAGGGGGCCTGGGTTCCATCCCAGGTCAGGGAACTAGATCCCGCATGCTGCAACAAAAGTTCCTGCATATCGCAGCTAAAAGATCCCGCATGCTGCAATGGAGATCTCACACGCGGCAACGAAGATCCCGAGTGCTGTGACTAAGACCCGGTGTAGCCAAATAACTAAATAAATATTTAAAAATAAAAACAAAATAATTTATTAGCACACAATTTGATAGGTCAGCATTTTGAGCTGGGCACGGATGGATGTTTTGCAGATTTCACTTGTGCTCTTGTTGCTGCAGTCAGTTGGTGGTTTGACTGGGGCTGGGTGACTATCCATGCATGACAGTTTCCAAGCTGGTTGTCTCAGGTGTGTTGGTTTTTCTTGGTTCTTTTCCATGTAGACTTGGGTTTGTTCTAGAGACTCTGCTTAGGCTTGATCAAACGATGGTCTTGGGTTT